CCACAATCTCCATCAGGCTCTCCATATATGCAATAATATAATACTAAGAAGAAGAAGATAGGTTTAAGGCACTTGCCTTAAACCTATCTTCCAATTAGATTGCTACCCTAAGCCCCTCCTAAATAAAGAAGTTCTGGAACCACCATTTTCGAGATGTAAAGATGTCCGTAACTGTTGGCTTGGAATCTTTGTAAATATATCGTTGCTAGGATTATTCTTGTGATCTTATATTCACAAAAAAAAAAAAATCTTTAAGCTCATGTGGGTGTTTACAGAAACTCATTGTAGCCGAAAGTAAGCCTGTCACTGTTACAGGTCAAGTACTGTCGACCAAGGTGTGCGATGAACATTACCATTTTTATCCATGAAGAAGCCTTAAACCTGCAAGTCACACCCTATCTATCTTATAACCCTCCCTAGGGACAGGGAGGGTTATAAGATAAATAGGCTTGATCCGAGAAAGGAGAGAGCAACTCTAAATACTTCAGTCAAGAGCTCTTCAGCAACACCTCAGCTGGAAATATTTTCTGCACATTCTTAAGCTAATCTATTACAGAGACAATGAGAAGAATAATAGCCTGTTACAGAGACATGGAAGATTACAATTTTTAGCAGACAATGAGAACGACAAGTTGTTGCAGCGATAACACGAATGGTGACAATCAATTACAGAAACAACGAAAATTATGACATTCTTTTGCAGATAATGTACAATGAAAATGACAACAATCTGTTATGGAGACAGTGAGAATGAAAATCTGTTGCAGACACAGTTAGGACAAAAAATTCTGAAGAACCAAACTATAGTGGAGTTATCCATGAGCCATGTTGTTGGTCACAAATCGTTTAGTGAGGGCATTACAGCCTCTCCTCACTGACGTACTCGTTTACCGACGACTCGTACTTACGACGGGCTCTCTGACCAGTATGCATACCTAAATAATGTATATTAGAGCTGATTTCTGTTATTCTGTTTATTACAATATGTACAGTACACTACTCTATACACATTTAAAAATATACTAAAAATATTATAAATGGTGCAAGGGTAACATTAAAGCTATATCAAAGATGGTTGACATAAACCCACTATCATTACAGTATGCTCCTCATTTAGCGACGAATTTAAGGCCATGGAACCACATGTGCATCACTAGACCAGTGACACATGATTGAGAATCAGCCACCACATGGGCAGAGAAAACAGATCACACATCCAATATTCCTCTACTTGATATGACAACTTTGTCCAAGTTTTAGGACTAACAATGGAGTCTAGTGGAAATATCTGTGATATATCTGACTGGCTTTGAAGGCTTCTACCATTGTGCAATGGCAGTATTAAACCTTAAAGGGAGCATGTAGTGTCATCCACACACGAAAGCTATATCAGCATCTCGTACTGAACAATCTTCTATTACTATTATATATTCAACAGATAGTGCCCAACCTCTAGGGAGTTATATAGCACCATGGTAATGCTATATATCTTGAGTTGGTTCTATAGCTTATTTTCTTTCAATAATGAACATATGCCACCAATGGTTAATTTAGAGGCCAGTGACTGTGCCCTCAGCTGGCTAGTAGCTGAGGGCAGTCACTGGCTCCCACTTCAACCTTGGTGGTGATGACTTTCATGTAAAAGCGCATTAGTCTCTGGTGTCGCATTTTCTGTATAAACAGTACAGTGGAGCCTCGAGTTTTGAACGTACAGATTATCAAACTTTTTGAGTTTCGACAGCTTTTTTCGAACCAATTTTGTTCCGGGTATCGAACTCTACCCGTCTTTTGATCCACCGGGTACCAGACCTGTCCACCAGCCTGCTCTGTCTGCATCCCCACACAGGCGTCGTGAGCAGTCTGGCTTTGTTGATGCTTGAGTGAACACTAACCTGCACGCTCATTCAAACATTTCACTATTAATTCACGGTGTTTAGTGCTTGTGTGACTGTGAAATAAGTTACCATGGGCCCAAAGAAACTTGCTAGTGGTACCCCTGTGGTAAAGAAAGTGAGAAACACCATAGACGTGAAGAAGGAAATAATAAAAAAATATGAGACTGGTGTGAGACTTGTTGAGCTTGCCAGGATATATGGCAAAAACAAGTCAACCATCGCTTCTATCCTGGCAAAGAAAGAACAAATCAAGGAAGCTGATGATGCGAAAGGTGTTGATATGCTAACCAAAAATAGATCACAGACAGTCGATCAGGTTGAGAAGTTGTTGCTGGTGTGGATCGAGGATAAAGAGATGGCAGGTGATAGTGTTTCGGAGACGATTATTTGTGAAAAGGCAAGGATTAAGGATGTGTGCAAAGTGGAATGAGTTGTAAACTTTTGTTGAAAACTATCACCCTCACCAAGCTGAAACAACCCATCTCTGCAACAAGTTCAGTGACAGAACCATGTCCCACTTCAAGAAAATGTTAAAGAGGTGCCAGATACAGAGGACTGTGGACAGTTACTTTGTGAGACAGAGGTCCAGTGACTCTCAAGCTGGTCCTAGTGGCATTAAAAGACAGAGAAGGGAAGTAACCCCAGAGAGGGCTTTGATACCTGAAGACCTTATGGAGGGGGATTCCCCTTCTGAACACTAACCCCAACTCTCTCTCTCCTCCTCCCTATCTTTCAGATGCCATCACCAATCTTCAATAAAAGTAAGTAAAAATGTTATTTTTTATGTTTATTTAAATTTATTACTAACTGTACTATGTATGCTTGTTGTGTGTATGTAAAACTATAATGTAATCTCTATAAAATGTATTTTTTTTTTTGTGAATATTTTTGGGTTTCTGGAACAGATTAATTGTATTTCCATTATTTCTTATGGGAAATATTGGTTCAACTTTCAAACATTTCGACTTTAGAACTAGCTCCTGGAATGGATTAAGTTCGAAACTCAAGGGTCCACTGTACATGGTTTGGGCCATAAAAGACACTGGTTTAGGCCACCAAAGATGACAGATTTAATGTTATTAATATGCTTTACATTGCACAGTTTACTCTTATTGTATCATTATTATTATTATTATTATTATACAAAAGAGCAAGCACTAAACCCACAGGGATCAAACAGTGCTGGGAAAGGGATAAAAATTCAGTCTGATTAAAGTAATAGGATAGCCTCAATTTCTTGGATCAAGAGCCCTTCACAAACATCAACTCAACTCTCTTGAAGAGATTGCTCGCTCTTCTCTTGATCAAGGAAGTCACGCTTCACTGTCGGATACAAGATGAATATCATCTAATAATACCGAGTAATCCAGCCTTATCTGGAAAATGGTCAAAGACACCAAGTGATTTGGCATTTGTTTATTACTTTACTCGAGGAATCACAATACTGTGGTGGTCAACCAGTGCTTGTGGAATGGGAGATAAAAAGGTTTGATACAAAGAATGATCAGATAGCTCTACTTCCACCAGTTTCAAGGCACCCCCTTGCAGGGACTAATATAATACAACAGAGTGACATCCAGACAAAATTAGTAGAGAATTTTATCATTTCTTCAATGGTGTTATCAAAGCCTCTTAATGTATGTACTTGAGACAGCTAAGTATTCTATGGAAATGTTTCTCCAAAGCTATGAGGATCTTGGTCTGGTGCCACATAGGCTGGTGTAGCTCTTTTGGTGAATAACCTAATAGACATTAACCATTTTATGTGAGTTGTTATAGATAATGGATACCATCATGTTAAACAGTGTCGCAAGTCTCCCTATAACACCAGGGGCTTACCATTCTCTGTAACCACCACTGTCAAGTCGACTTATCCAGCAGTTTTTTTTTGCATTTATATGCTCAAAGACTAGTATGCAGATTACATGATATTTAACCTATGTAGAGTTTTTCACACCCACATGAGAGGATGCACATACAGTGGGGCCCCACTTATATGGTAGGTTAGGTTCCAGGCTACTACCAGAAAGCGGACATCACCGGAAAACAGAACTCCATTTTTTCCACTTATAAATGCACACAAATGCCAGAAAACTAGTTTACACTAACATATATTAAGGTAACAGTAGAAATAGGCATTAAAAACAATAAAAAAGTAAACATACACAGTACATTCATTACTTACCTTAAAACATTTTTAGTCTTAATGTAGGGTGAGAAGTGAGTGGTATTTATTTGTAGGAAGTCGGGTGTAGGTAGACCTGGCTCCAATCCCAAACGTAATATACAATATTTAAAGCAGCCCAGAGCGATAAAATACACATACAATACACTCATTACTTACATCAAGACTAGAGGGACATGCTTTGTGATTTTAATGTGTATCTGCATGCCAACACAGGGTGTAAATTTATTTAGGTACAGGTATACATAAGTATAATTATCGGAGTATACATATAAAATATGCAATAACTTTAAAACACTTGAAATTTTGGAAAGCTTCCAAACATAATGGAGAGACACGGAGCTCACAGATGTAAACACACCGGGTGGCGTGTGGTGACCATATTAGAGCGTCAGGTGGGGGTAGCCATTTAGCAAGTTTAGGTCATAATTTAAAATGTCCGTATTAGAGGAACACCGTAAGGCGAAACGCCGTGAAGCAGGGCCCTACTGTATTAGTCTGCTTCAGTGTTATGATGATTTTAAGTTTTTGCTCTTGTTGATTTGCAGATGGATTATGGAAATAACAATTACTTAGATGTTGCTGATTTGGAAGGCCCAAGTTATGTTGTGCTTCCCACTCCCTGTGGGTAAAATGATTCACTCTTCATTTTCCTTGCCTTCCTCATTTTGCATACAGTGTCTTTTTAGTATATTTGTTGGCAACTCTTGCCATCCAGTTTAAATCTGTCATAACCCATGAATATTGTAGAAATATTGAAGAGCTGCATTAAATGATGATGTTAATTGAATTGTTGTACGCCATGTGTAGAAGTGTTTAAAAGCAGCATTAAGTTATGTTTAATGCATTCCTATATAGCTTAGGTTTAATCTCATTTACTGGGAATGCACAGATTCATAGGAGAAAAAAAAACAGACATATAAAATAAATTTTTAGTATGATACACTTAAGGCAAAAAGTACAAAAGCAGTTTATAAACCATTGTGTAGACTTAGTGTGATTAAGACTCACAGTGGTGATAAAAGGACGGTAAACTGATAGAAATGGATGTTTAGCTATGCTAGAATTATTATTTACAAATACTTGAGGTAGTTAAATGACAATATATCATATCTTTCATATTAATGTACATATACTGTACTGTGATGCATACCTTTATAACTGTGGAAATGTTAAAGAAATATGAAGCAAATTTTCAATATATGATAAAGTTTTATATACAGTGGACCCCCGCATAACAATTACCTCCGAATGCGACCAATTATGTAAGTGTATTCATGTAAGTGCGTTTGTACGTGTATGTTTGGGGGTCTGAAATGGACTAATCTACTTCACAATATTTCTTATGGGAACAAATTCGGTCAGTACTGGCACCTGAACATACTTCTGGAGTGAAAAAATATCGTTAACCGGGGGTCCACTGTATATAAGATTTTACACAAATTCAGATACAAATAAGTTAATTATATATATTATATATATGTGTCAACATTAATAAATATGATGAGTATATAAATATTCAAAGCTTTCCTCGAAATAGATTATTTTATATGACAGTCTCTATTCAGACATTCATCAGTAGTTGTCCCATAATAGTATAATTTTTATACGTAGAAGCTATCAGATAAAAATTAGCTTTAAACTTTTTTAAATTATAGAACAGTGCAGTCATTTATCATTCTCAGAACTTGTTGAATTAGTTTCTTTCTTAGTTGCAGCCTCGTGCAGCTCAAATAATTGATAAATCTGCTCATCACTAAATTGGTCTAAGTCTTTACCCTTTAAAGGTGTACCAAACACCTTAGCTGAATGAGAGCTACTAATTCTAAGCTGCTTAACTACAGTGACTGCGTACTTTGTCCATTCCTCCATGAATATCTGAGCTTGCTCTGGAGTAGCTTCCTTGTGTCGTCGAAACTCATCCCGGGTGTACTGGTCACCTGGAGAGAAGATACAGTCAAACTTATGGGTCTGCTTCATGTCATCAGTGCTTTATACAGTAGGGCCCCTATAGCTGCAGGTCTGGTATTTGCAGTTTACCATGGCCCATAAATAATCCTTAATTTTGCTTAACAATGGCCTCAAAGTGCAAATGTAGTGATGGCAGAAGTTCTTCAAAGCCTAAGAGAAGCAATGACATGCTTCCCATGTCCCTACATATTAGTCTTGTACATACCTATTATAAAGTTTAATACACACATTGTGTGTATTAAACTTTATAATAAGTATGTGTAAGATTTATATATAGGGTTCGTTACTATCAGCAGTTTCAGTATCTGCAGCAGATCCTTGATACATATTCCGCAGATACAGGGGTCCAACTGTACTCTTAAAATTACTTTGTTCATTTTTAATACAGTAACATAACACAGTAGGACCCCACTTATACAGCAGGTTAGGTTCCAGGCTACTGCCTTAAAGTGAAAATCGCCTAAAAGGGAATGCCATTTTTTTCCATTTATAAATGCGTATAAATGCCAGACAAGTTAACAGTAACTTTTATAAAATTAGCAATAGAACTAGGCATTAAAAACAATAAAAAGTAAAATACACATATAGTACACTCATTACTTACCTTAAAATATTTGTAGTCTTAATGTAGGTGAGAATGAGTAGTGTTTATTGTAAGAAGTTAAGTGTGATAGGTATGGTAGCCAGCCAAGCCACCCAACCCACACGTAATAAACTTCAACATTTAAAGAGCCCTAGAGCGATAAAATGCATATAGTGTATACTCAGTACTTACCTTAAAATATTTGTGGTTTTAATGGTCTGAATGTAGGGTGCAAGGTGAATAGTAGGGTAGGTAGGTATCGTAACCCCATCTGGCAACCTCACCCACACATTATATACTAGGCATATAAAGCGCCCTAGAGTGATAAAATGCATATACAGTACACTCATTACTTACCTTAAAATATTTGTAGTCTTAATGTAAGGTGAGAGGTGAGTAAATGAGATTAAATGAATAAAAAAAGAGAGAGAGAGAGAATGAGTACATGAGAGAGGACAGATGTGAGTTTTGTAAACAAACCAGCCGAACACATGGTTTTAGTTCACTCCACAAGCCGACTAGAAAAAATCTCATATTTATCTTAATTTATTCTACTGTGGGTATATTTATCATGTTTATATGTTATGCAGTGTGTTTATTATATAATTTTGAAAAAATATCATAGATGGATTAAGCAAAATGTCTATACAGTGGACCTTTGGTTTTCGTGCTTAATCAGTTCCAGAGAGACCAGCAAAAACGGAAATCAGCAAAAACTGAAACGGTTTTCCCCATAAGAAATAATGTAAATCCAATTAATCCATTCCAGACACCAAGAAGTATTAACAAAAAATATTTTTTTACCTTAAAGACAGATTTACATGCACAAAAGAATGAACATTCAACATGACACTTACCTATTCTTGGTCAGAAAAGTGGCAGATGCAGTTCAATGTAGATAAATGCAAGGTTCTGAAGCTCGCGAGTGTCCATAACCCTAGCACTTATAAGTTAAATAATGTAGAACTTAGCCATACAGATTGCAAAAAGGACTTGGGGCTTATGGTAAGCAGCAACCTTAAACCAAGACAGCAATGCCTAAGCGTACATAATAAGGCAAATAGATTACTGGGATTTATATCAAGAAGTGTAAGCAACAGAAGTCCAGAGGTCATACTGCAGCTTTATACATCATTAGTAAGGCCTCACCTAGATTATGCAGCTCAGTTCTGGTCTCCATATTACAAAATGGACATAAATTCGTTAGAAAACATTCAGCGTAGGATGACTAAATTAATACATTAGAAATCTTCCTTATGAAGAAAGATTGAAGACTCTTAAGTTACATTCACTTGTTAGACGAAGAATGAGGGGAGACCTGATCGAGGTGTATAAGTGGAAGATAGGTGTTAATAAAGGGGATATTAATAAGGTCTTGAGGATATCTCTCCAAGAGAGAACCCGCAGTAATGGATTTAAATTGGATAAGTTTAGATTTAGAAAGGACATGGGAAAGTATTGGTTTGGAAATAGGGTAGTTGATGAGTGGAACAGTCTACCTAGTTGGGTTATTGAGGCTAAGACTTTGGGTAGCTTCAAGTTTAGGTTGGATAAGTACATGAGTGGGAGGGGTTGGATTTGAGTGGGACTTGCACATCAGAGCTTATTTCTTGGGTAGCATTGAAAATTGGGTTGGGCAAATGTTTTGTTAGTGGGATGAATTGTAAAGGACATGCCTAGTATGGGCCAACAGGCCTCCTGCAGTGTTCCTCCTTTCTTATGTTCTTATGTTTATTGAAGACTGTTGTTGGTGGATGGAGACAGGGAGGAGGGGAGAGGGAAGAGAGGTTATTCTTTGGAAGGGGAATCCCCCTCCATAAGGACTCTAGGTACTAAGCCTTTATCTGGGGTCACTTCCCTTCTTTGTTTTTTAAGGTCACTAGGACCAGCTTGAGAGTCACTGGACCCCTGTCACACAGAATATCTGTCCAGATAGGTCTGTTTCTACTGTCTCTTTAAAATTTCCCTAAAATGGGACATGGCATTGTCATTGTAAAAGTTGCCTGCAAGGATTGCAACAGCTTTCTCAGGGTGATGTTCCTCCAAAAATGAGTGCACCCTACTCCACATTGCACAAATCTCCTTAATCTCTGAAGAAGGCACCTTCTTCCATCTCTCTTCCTCCTCCTCTGAAGCAATTTCCTGAGCTGTGGTCTGTTGCTGTTGCAGATGAAGCTCTTGCAGCTCATTGTGGTCCTCCACCAACTCTTCCACATCCTGGCCACTCACATCCAACCCCATGAAATTCCCCAACACCACAATCGATTGCACAACTAGTATAGGGTTGTCAGGGTCAGCCTCAAACCCTTCACAATCCTTTGTTGAGGACACAATCTGGCCAGTTTTCTCCAAGCAGAGTTCATCATCCTGGAAGTCACTCCCTACCAAGCCTTATCTATAAGGCTTATGCAATGGAAGATACTGAAGTGATCCCTCCAGAACT